TCCAGTATCCCCAAAACAAAACTAATTCTAGAATTAAAAAATGAAAAAAAAATCAGCTTTGTTAGCCTTGCACTACACTACGTACATACAGCTGGACTGCTTTTTGACATATAGATGTCTCCGGTGACCCTGTTTTCTTTATTGTTCTAGAAATAATTTCAAACCGTATAGATGGTATTCAGTGGACGCAATATTTGAGGTGACTTCGCACAGCGTATGCTCGGGATGCATTCGTATTTATGGTATCCCAAAGAATACAATCTTGATGGTGTGCAATGTGCATGATGGAAGCGTTCTGAAAGCTTGCTGTCCCACGTGCTCAGCAACAGCGAGCTCAGCAATGGCCGCCAGTAAATAACACCTATGGACATTTTCTGATTCCTGTCGTTCTGACTCGCGTGGTTTCCGTATCTGATATACGTGACGAAAAAAATAATAAAACATTTGAGCCTGGAATACGCGAGAAAATATAGGTGAGGCAAAACAAGAATGTGTGACAATCACACATTTTTCGTAGACACTTTCTAAAGGCGTGGAGAAATCAAAGCGATGTTTTACCGCATACCGGAAGTGAGGACATTCAAGAGGACTGCGCCCTTGTGGAAAAGGTGTATGCGCATAACGGGCGTCATGGGCGGTGGCTGGCTAGCGAGCCATGGATTAATTTTTGCTTTGCGGTTGAAGAAACGTTTTGCCGCCTGGTGTTATTTGTTGTAGGCAACAATTTTACTTGTCCTCTTTGGAAAGGACTGTTCCCTCTCTATTGTTCGTTGTTAAAAGTGTTGCCCCCCCCCCCTTTTTTTTTTCTTTTTCCTGCGGCTTCTTGAACTTTCGTAGTTTGGGCTGCGGCTCTTACCCCATGTCGCTCTGGCCACCCCTGCTTTATAGCTTAGCAGCCATAGGTCGCGTCCAACGTTCATAGCGTGACATTGCGGGAACGCAAAATGACAAGCTTTTTTTTTAGAGCGCAGCTCTTAGGGGCCCGTTTCCGGCTTGAGCGGCGTCGCCGTCGGCGTCGGCGTCGCCGTCGCCGTCGGCGTAACCGCGCGGTGCATCATGGGAAATGTCCCATAATGCACCGCGCGAGCCCCCCACCAAGGTCACGTGACCTCGTGGGGGGTCACGTGACCCCCCGAAGTCACGTGGCCCCCTCCTCGAGGTCACGTGACCCCCGCCGATGTCGCGTGACCCCCCGATGACGTCATCGTCACTGATGACGTCACCGGCATCCACATCGTCATCGTCATCATCACTGATGACGTCACCGGCATCCACATCGTCATCGTCATCATCACTGATGACGTCACCGGCATCCACATCGTCATCGTCATCACTGATGACGTCACCGGCATCCGCATCGTCATCGTCATCATCACTGATGACGTCACCGGCATCCACATCGTCATCGTCATCATCACTGATGACGTCACCGGCATCCACATCGTCATCGTCATCATCACTGATGACGTCACCGGCATCCGCATCGTCATCGTCATCATCACTGATGACGTCACCGGCATCCACATCGTCATCGTCATCATCACTGATGACGTCACCGGCATCCACATCGTCATCGTCATCATCACTGATGACGTCACCGGCATCCACATCGTCATCGTCATCATCACTGATGACGTCACCGACATCCGCATTGTCATCGTCATCATCACTGATGACGTCATCAGTGACGTCACTGATGTCGTCACCGGCATCCGCATCGTCATCGTCATCATCACTGATGACGTCATCAGCGACGTCACTGATGACGTCACCGACATTCGCATCGTCATCGTCATCATCACTGGTGAAGTCATCAGTGACGTCACTAATGACGTCATCGGTACCCGCATCGTCATCGTCACTGATGACGTCATCAGTGACGTCAGTGATGACATCATCGGCATTGGGGGTCACGTGACCCCCAAGGTAACGTGACCCCCCCTGGTTAGTTTAACCCCCCCCAGTGCCCTTCCCTCCTCCTCCTCAAGAGCTGCGCTCTAATTCGGCGTTACAGGGAGTTGTAAGCGGCTTTCATTTTTTGTGTTCCTTTGTTATGTTACTGTAAAGTTTACTGCCGCAAAACGTCTAATAGATTGTACGAGAGCCCCCAGACAAGCTACGCTTCAGAGTAACGACACCTGCCTATCTTGGTGCTTAAAATCATGGTTGCCAGTTTCCTGAAGCTTTAATGGAAACACGTTTCCGTCATCCACAAACGTTTAAACAGTTCGCGACAGAGCAAAGCAATATTACAGGAGCTTCCTAACACAGAATCTAATGCTGATGAAGTCGTACTTTGAATCATGACGATCGGCAGTTAAGTCTGCTCTGTACTAAGCACCAAGATGGCTGCGCCCACAACAGTATCGGGAAATAAAGTTGGGATACTCTAAGTGTAGCTCATTTATTGCCTCTAAATCGTACAATAGATAAAAGAAAAAGAAAAATCTTTGTGATTAGGTTTCGGCTAATTGCAGCCTCGCGTAACGCATATTAACCCGTGATTTATGTATCGTAAATGTAAGCTCTTGCTAATAAATAATTTATGGTCTAGAGGTCTAGTAGTCAGAACGAACAACCGGTAATAACAGGCGATGCCGCTTCTCTTTTTCCAGCACTCTCTATCTTCTCTCCAGGTGGTAGTGCCTAGAAGAACGCATCGTAGTTGTTGCTTTTAAAAGAAACGTGGTGACTTGTGTATTAAAAAAAAACTAAAAATATAAAAATATATTTGGGACAGGCGTGTCAAAAAATAAATTTTCGCGAAAAAAAAATGAGAGCAATATTGATGGCGCGCGATTTATTTTATATTTTGTGCGCAAAGTCGATGACGTCAGGAAATGGTCATTCATTCTTTCGACTTCAACGACATGGTCATTCGCTCTTCCCACCTCAGCGTGAACGCGAAGCCGATCCACCCCTACTCCACGCGTCCGAAATGCCGAGAGAGAAAACAAGTGGAAAGGAGGGGACTACCCACTAAATCGCGTCTCGCGCCGTCAATATTGCTCTAAAAACATTTGTCCAGACAAAAAGGTAATGGTCCCTGACCCTTTCGTTTACCCATCTCCCCGTCTGCCCGATATGCGCTCTCCCGCACGTCATTGGTATCTCGTAAACCAGAGAGGTTTCGCAATCTACATATTTGTTAACATGCCTTTTTTTTGCATGCATTCCCATGTAAACATATATGTAGATTGCGAAACATCGCTGGTTTACGAGATGCCAACGACGTGCGGGAGAGCGCATATCGGGCAGACGGGGAGATGGGTAAACGGGAAGATCGGGGAGCGTGACCTTCTTGTAAGGCGGTCACCTTCGGAAAACTTAAACTGTTCACTGTGACAGGTTTCCATGTTCACCTGTACTCGATGAAACGCCGATCTTGGGAAGGTATAAAATAAAAACAAAGAGAGAAATGTTCGAGTTTTCTAAAATCAAGGAGAGGGGCGATGTAGCATGTATCAGCACATCGTCAATCCTTTTATCAGATAAGAAATTTGAGTTCATCTTGCGAGAAGCTTAATTGTTAGCTAATGGTTCGCTTGGGAATGTATATATGTTCGTATTTTCCGAATGAAAATGAAATTGAGAGTACAGTTTCGTTCAATTCTGCGTGTTGTCCTTTTTTTTTGAGTTTAAGATGTTCAACTTGCCCAGCTACAAATTCTTTTACTAAGACATCTGGTTTTATGTAATTTTTTATTTCGCAGACATACTAGCAGGGTTCCCATTTTCTTAAGTGTGCAAGACGTTTAGATTTTGAAATGACACTTCAGTGGAATGAATGTACCGAGTGTATACACATTATGAGAACAAAGGTAACATGAATAAATCAGTAAGTATAAACATCCTGTCTACTAAGTAACAACGACAAAATAATTTCGCAGTAAATTTATATTTAAGATCACCAAGTGAACCTTCCGCGGTGATATATTGGCGTTCATCCGTCCCTTTCGAACATCTCTGGCTTAATCGCAGTTGCTAAATGTATTCGGTTTATAGACAGCAGGAAGCAACTTCGCGTACTCCTGATTCCACTTTTCTTTCTAAAGACATCATATGAACAGAGTAAAAGCATAGCCACTTTGTCAGTTTATTTTCGCGAGAAGAATACACGCGCCCGTGAATTTTGCAGACATGCAGATTCTGAAAAAACTATAAATGCACTCTTTTTTCGCAGAGTTCTAATTGTCCGAGGGCGTAAACACGACGCGTGAGTGCACTGTTCGCACTGCATGAATAACATCTTGCCGTCTGAAAATTTATGTAATGAACTTTACCGTCTAGCTCGTGCTGATGAACATTAAAAGAACTAGTCACAGGTGAGACGAGGGACGAGGTACACTTTCGTTCACAAAAGAAAGATGGATGAAAGAAAGCGTACGTCGTCCCTCGCCCTACCTGTGTGAAAGAAAGTGTACGCCGTCCTTCGTCCCACCTGTGTATTATTCTTTTGGGAGTTCCTCAACTCAACCAACATGCTCGTCCGTCTACAATAACTCGTGCCTACTTGCTTCTCTGTTCCTTTGAACCCCCCCTGGATCGTTGTCAAAACAAGGTACCCAGCGCCCTTGAAAAGTGTACCTCTACACGTGACGATCGTGCCGTTCTGGCATGAGACATTGGTACAGTCACTGGCCTGGTGAGAATGGCAGGAAGGAGATTTAGCTGTCCCGCCTTCAGCGCGAGCTTGCTAGCTTCAAATGCGCTTCGACGTCTCGTGCACCTCCAGAGCGCGCGCGCAGCACGACGGAAGGCACGGAACGCGTGCTAGAGGCCGCGGGCGTTCTCATCCTGCAACGTTGGCGCTTAGCGCACGATGGTTATTTTGACGGACTGCGGTTTGTCTTTTCAGTTTCTGTGAACGCAACTGACAGAGGGAGTTTGAACCCGTTCTTATGGGTTGATTTGGTAAACGTAACCAACGCTGCCAAACAGGTATGCATGGGCGTCTATAAGGTGTGCTACAAGTATGGTGTGCACGTGCATTTTCGCAGGCATCTCAAAGAAGATCTGAAGATGATCACGGATCTGCAACTGGAAGGCAAGCTCACGGAAGACGAGACAGTGTTCTATTTTTTTCGGTGAGCCTGATTATTGTTTTTTCACAAATAATTGTTTTGTTTTTTAGCATAGAATTACGCGAACAGAATCATTTATTGATGCAAGCTCTATCATTATCTTAGAACTTACATAACGTTATTTATTACCCCGATCTTTGATGGAGGAATGGAAAGAACGAAATTCAGTCATGGTGGTGCTCTTAATTGAAGATGAATTATATTACATTACACGAACGACTCTTTTCCAAGATATATATTAGAACACGATAGATTGTTCTTACGTTTTAGATTATTTACAGTTGGCTATCTTCGACGGAATTTACAACTAGCACCATGATCAGTTAAACAACTAGCCTACACTACAGTCATAAGATCGCAACTTGAATACGCGTCATCCATCTGGTCCCCTTGGCAAGATTCATTGATAACAAACACAGAGGCACTTCAGAATCGCGCAATCAGATTCATTTTTTTTTTCAGATTACTCACAAGACACCAGTATCATTCTTTACGAATGAAAGCTAACCTTGATCTGCTCTCATCCAGAAGAAAATTATCACGCTTGTCTCTTTTTCACAAGATTTAGTATCATAACCATGACGTCAGAACTCTCTATTATTCCCGGCCACTCGCATATTTCCTCGCATTGATAGCGTCTGTAAAGTTCGTCCAATTTTCGCCTCGTCAGTTTCGTTTCTTAACTCCACCTTGCCATTAACAATAACAGACTGGAATAGACTGCCTAACAGTATAGTGACCCAGAAGGTCATAACACATTCATATCCCAACTGACCATCCATCTGTATTTGCACTAATAGCAAAGTCAATTTGTGTTTATAGAAATGTTTTATTTGTGTATTTTTCTGTTTGATCAGCTGTTTTTCCTTAAAAATGTTTTGATTGTTAATTTCTTTCCTGCTTTGATTGCTTTATATAACAATGTTCTCCAGCATGTTAACCACTTCTTGTTTGTTCCTTTATATAATGTTTTTTCAGCAGGTACCCTCACCTTGTGTAATGCCCGTAAGGGGGCTTCAAGGTTTAATAAATGATGAAATACACTAATATCTGAATTAAAAAAAATAGACATGTAGCTTACTTTTTTTTGTGTGTTTGTGTGCTTTCAGGTTTGAAAACAAGTGAAATCGGAATATGTGTCGACACAGTATTCTTGAAAGTAAAAAAAGCGTTTGATCAACACACGGACCATCTGACGACATAACTGTTATAGGACTGCTGCTATTTTGACTGTACTTTCTGAGCAGAGAGGGTTTGCCCTAAAAAGTCTTTGCGAAATCACCCTTTTTTAATTAATTGGCGCTTTATTGTATGCTTCTCGTAGGATGCACGACTTCGACAACAACAACAAGCTGGATGGTTTAGAGCTCCTGGCAGCCATGCAACACACGGAAAACCACGACCATTCGTCATCCAACACCGACTCTGACAAGAAAGTTGACATTCAGCGGTTTATAAGTAAGCTCAAGAGTGCGTGTCTTTGTCAGTGGTGTACCCGCTAATAAAAAAAATAATTCGCTGTAATTAAAGTGAGTCCAGTTAAAACAAGTTCTGGATTACATGTACTGATTACATCTGTAGCTCAACTTGAGGATTGTTATTGGATCTTGTTTGCTTATAGACGCTTTCCGCCGGCGTCATATTAGATCTTCATCACCGACCTTTGCCGTATGTCCTCGAAAGGGCAAGCGAGTGGAGCTGACGATAAAAAGCCCAAGCCCACTAAAATACCTGCGTTTGTAGTAACAACGCCTTGGCAGAAATTTCCCCAGGAAGTCAAATTAGGGGGGGGGGGGGCGGTTAGGGGGGGGGGGGGGGGGTGCCTTCAGAAAAACAAGGAAGGGGGGGGGGGGGGTGTACACCCACCTGAGGGGCGTGTAAGGAAATCACTGCGCCTTGGCTTCTAGACGTACAATGACATCACGTGTGACCATGGGAACAAAGTCAAGTGCCTAAATAAAAAGGAACAAAAACTTAATATCAGTATTTTACTTTGGAAGAATAAAACACCGATGACAAGAACAGACGACTATTTCATTATTATCTGAAGCATCATGAATGAGAGTGGTAATATCGCCTTGTCCTTGCTGTTTTAATTCTTTCAAAACTAATATATTCCTTGCACAACATACTCGCATAGATTAAGTCAAGTCAGTATCAGCTGCGTTCAAGGCCGCCTCGAAGCGCTGGCCAGGGCGTAGCTGATGCTACGATCCAACAGGGCTAATCAGGGAGCACCAGAACCGCAACGTCACGATGTTTGTCAATTCTACGTGCTTGTGCTATTATCGGTTAAACCAAACAAGCGAAGTGAATCCGCTGCGGAGCGTTTAATATCTACGTCCGTGTTCGTTTGTCTTGTAGCCTTTGACTGTGCTCTAATTACACCGAAACGGAGAATTCTTGTTTATTTTTATTATAATAAATAAGAGACAGAGATTGAATGGTGGGCATTTTAACTTTACTATAGACCTTTTCTATATTGCGTTGAATTACAGCTCTAACTAGTCCTCGACTGTAATAAAGCGGTTTCATACTCATGCTTGTAATTGATTGTTAGTTTTTGTTTTATTGGTTCTTTTATAGTAGACTTCTTTTGGGTGATCTAAATCAATGAAGAGTCTCAACAACTCAACATATATCAAGATAATGAATATTATCGGAGCACATATTTCATATTATTCGCAAAATTTTCTCAAAGTATGCAGCCTGAATGTGCAACGATTAACCACTCAGGCGAACAATTAGCAAATGGGAAACGTTTAGAAATAAGTCAGTTGCCGCGAAAACCGAACTCGGATTCGTTTTTTGAAGCTTGTTTTCTGGAACTCTGTTCCAGAAGCTCGTTATATGGAACATGCGGAATCATATCGACATGGCTCTAGAAATCATCTCAGCATGAATCGTCGCGTGTCTGATGTATCTGTACTAAAGACAGCACTGTATCTTCTGCATCAGTCAAAAGACTAAGTGAATAATATAAAAGTGTACTTTCCCCATCTACCACGAGGTTTTCTAAAGTGTACACGGCGATAATTAAATCTTAATTCGTTGCTCATTCTTGTTTCTGATTTGTTCACATTGGCTATCGAGCTGCAGTCTGGAACTACAATAATTTTGCCGAAGTGAAAAAATACTCAAGACCAAAAATATCAATGTACAAGCAGTGATATGTTGTCCTTCATGTATGTTTCAGTGTCCGTGGACTCCCTTCTGCTGCTTGACAAGGATAACGATGGATTCCTTGAGTACTCCGAACTGCAGGCTTCGGCCGACGACGAATCCTAAAAGCAAGCTTTGCGCGCGTGTTCAAAATGAGCACGGCACGCCTTTGGAATGTGCGGTACCGAGTCCGGGCACATTTATGTCCTAGTCATTCTTAACCCGAGAACCGTGTGAACGTTACGTGTACTATTAATCAACCGTGAGATTTCGGATGGCTGAGCTTGCAGACCAGATCAGTCACGTGGCACAAGGCTGACGGTTCATTTGTTCCGTACATTCTAAAAAAAGCCCGTGGATCCGCTTTCCCGCGCAACACCCGGAGAGCCAATCGCGGCATCTTACGAAGGCAGCTCGGCGAATGACGATGCGGAAATATATGTTTAGACCAAAACACGCAGTCTGAGTTGTGACATTAAGCAATGCAAGCGTGACGGTTTGCATTGCTTAATGTCACAACTCAGACTGCGGTTTTTGGTCTAAACATATGTTTTGGCATCGTCATTCGCCGAGCTGCCTTCGTAAGATGCCGTGGTTGGCTCTCCGAGTGTTACGCGGGAAAGCGGAAGCACGGGCTTTTTTTTTTTTTAGAGTGTAGGTGCTAACAGTTTCACTTCATTGGCAGTTTCTTATTCGGAAGACCCATAGTGTTTAAAAAGAAAAGTTGGCAACAAATGACATCACCTGGTAGCAGAAGATCAGATTATAAACGAACAAAAAACAATAGGTTCCGTGTTTTTTTGTTTTTTTTTTTAGCACCAGAAATGTGTGCTATGCTACGAGTATTACCGATGGCAATACGCAAAGAGATCAACTAAGATTTCCCAAACTGCCAGTTCGAGCGCAAGCTATTCTTGAATATTGAGGGAAATCGCATGGTGGGGCGCTGGTTAAATGTGGTTCGAGTTGTGGTGGTCCATTGGTTATTGATTAGGGTTATAAGGGTGCTTCTTTAGCTACATAGATTGTCATTTGACTTTATACAGAGTGGCCGAGAAATATATTCACTGTATAATATTTGCCACATATTTATTCTCGACGAATGTCTTTTGATAATGTTTAGCATATGTTAACAAATAACAAATTGGTCGCCCTTTTCGACATCGATGTGCTATTTTAGAATGTAGGAGTTTCAATATTTCTAGTAGGCTAATGCCAATTCGCATTTTATACGTATTGATAATGAAAGTTGCTTCACCCTTGTGTTTTGCTTCATTTACACCGAAGGAGTGAATGTATTCACAAAACAATAAACCAGTTTACTGAATAATATCGCCCTATTATTTGTTTTTTTCAAAATTTTATTAGGAGGCATTTGGTTAACGAGCGAATCTGGAATTTTTGTTCCCGAGTGACTGTCATTAGAGAGTTTTAGTAGATCGTGTTTTCAGGCCACGCTATCTGTAGCGGGAGCTCGCGCTGCCACTTTGACGTATGCTTTGTAGCGCGCGCCCGTACCGGTAGCGGGCCTTTGAATACGATCTACTAAAACTCCCTACTATAGTGATATACGCTAGAATCACCACTGTTGCTTTCTAATCACATTTCCAAGAAGATATAAAACTGGAACAAAATAATGTAATTTATAGACTCGTTGAACTGTGTCGCTGACGTGGGAATCTGGCTAGTGTGGAAATCAAACCTAGGATTCCACAGGTTCTGCAGCGCGAGCTTGCGCTCCACGCTCTCCATGTTGCGGTGAGTTCACACACTGTCACCGACTCTCCCTCGTCATGTTATCCAGTCAGTTGTTTAAAAAGGGGTGTCTATAGACCAGTGTCCGAACTCCTAGCCCCCGGGGATAAAAATGGGAGATAATAATCTCAAATTAAGGTGCATGTGAAGAGAGGGGCGGCGTATAAAACAAGACTTTTGCTTTTGACAGCCCTAATGGCGTCGGTGTTGTTCTTGAAGATTTGTGACTATGCATTTCTGACGTTCTTACAATGCGATATGTGTGAAGATTTCTAAAAAAAAAAACAGAAAAAAAAACGGAGTCTTGCAAAAAGCGCAGCCCTCCTATACTGAGTCATGGCGGCACCCGAGGAACAGAGCAGACAGTAGTATATAGGTCTTACTGAATAAAGCGCTCCTGACAGGCGCCATCGTCGGTGTTTGTGTGTATAGCATAGCGCACGTTTTACTTGCTTGGCTATAAATTTGGAAACATTAAAAAGTGTACCGTGACTGTTTATTATGCTTTCCTGTGCTCAGCCAACTGTAGATTACGTTCTTTGAAGCATGGCACGCAAGGAGTACTTGTCTTCGTTAGTCTAAATTTCCCCACCGATATATTCACCTTTCCTCACGGAGCGTGTGACGATAGTAATAATTGTAATCGTGTTGTGTGTATGTCATACAGCCGCAAGTTAGTCAGCCCCAATGGGCGTCTGGTCTCTCAGCTGTAGATGAACAGTTTCGCCAGTGCAGTACCACTGCTGGCCTTGGGTCTTTAACGTGCATCACGCAGTAGTAATGCACGACCGCACGCCGGTACGGTGCTCATCACGATTGGCACTTGTGGTATTCGAACCCAGGACCCGTGGGTGCTGCAGCGCGAACTTGCGCTTCGCGCTCTTCGTGCTAGGGTGCGTTCACACACGGCCACCGATCCTCCTGTGAAGATAGAGGTTGGTCCAACGAAATGAATGAAGCCGCTGAACATGTGAGGTATAAATTTGATTGGCTATAGAGGTATAAGTTTGATTGGCTATAGAGGTATAAATTTGATTGCCTAGAGAATGCCAAGAGCCTCATTTACACGAATGCGACATCAGCGCATCGACTCCAATCGTCCTTCAAATGGAGTCGACGCGTGAGCGTTTACATGGATGCGCGTCAAGTCCTACTTAGGGAGGCTCAAGTGAGGGTGGGTGCAACTGCTAGATCGGCGATCACGGGACATGGACGCCATTTAATTGCTAAATTTTGCTGGGAGTCTATCGGGCAAAGGGTCGTTTTCTTTCCTAACTCAGGTCATAAAAGCCCATTAAGGTGCTTGAATAATTTACACAAGGTATAAATTATTACTTTTCCATAGCCACCAGTTTTGTTGCGATAGGTTAAGTATTTTTTTAACGCGAAAAATGGTAAATTCCGTCATCTTCGACGTTGCTGCTTGTCTGGCAACCTTGCTTTCCGCTCGACGTTTGCAACTCTCGGAGCGAGAAGGAAGCGAGAGAGGCTGCGCCAAGGCGCTCGTTGCTTGCAATGGGAGGCGAGAGGAGGAAAGGCGCATGGAGCAACAGAGTTGCAACAGAGCGGGCGCCTGCTCTCGTGCAGGCAACACTGGCGCATATCCTTTCTCGAATCCTCTCCCTCAGTCCCCGCCATTATATTGCAAACGCTCTCCAGGTTTTGAGTTGCGCCCACCCTCACTAGAGCCTCCCTAGTCCTACTACGCGAAGGTTGCGCCACACCGTGTAAATTCTCGAAGTTAAAGCCGAGTTTCCGGCACAAGCCGCATCACGTGACCACGTTTCGCGGTGCTTCGCGCGCGGAGGCCCTTTTGACGCTAGAAACCTTTTTTGCACGTCGCCAGGGCGCAGTCACGTGACCACTTACGTTCTGCTTTCTTTTCTCTCACGCCGCCGGCGTATTTCTCTCTGCGTTATTTTAGAGCGCAGCTCTTAGGCGCCCGTTCTGGCTTGAGCGGCGTCGGCGTCGCCGTCGCCGTCGCCTTTGCCGTCGGCGTAACCGCGCGGTACATTATGGGTAAATTTCCCCGCTAAATTTAGCGGAAAATTTTTCCCGCTAAATCTAGCAGAAAAAATTCACCGCTAAATCTAGCGTAAAAATTTCCCCTCTAAATTGAGCGGAAAAATTTCCCCACTAAATTTAGCGGAAAAATTTGCCCGCTCAATCTAGCGGAAAAATTTCCCTGCTAAATCTAGAGGAAAAAGTTCCCCACTAAATTTAGCTGAAAAATTTCCCCACTAAGTGTAGCGTAAATATTTCCCCGCTAAATCTAGCAGAAAAAATTTCCCCGCTAAATTTAGCGGAAAAAATTCACCGCTAGATCTAGCGGAAAATTTCCCCGCTAAATTTAGCGGAAAATTTTCCCCTAAATGGGAGGCGAGCAGGAGAAGAATAGGGGAATAGCCTCCTATCTGTACCTTCTCCTCCTCCTCCTCAAGAGCTACGCTCTAATTCGGCGTGAAAGGGGATTGTAAACGGCATACATTCTTTGTTTGTTTCTTTTTCGCTACGAGTTGGAATTTGGGCAGGGTGGTAACCCGCAGTTTCCGGCTAAGCAGTTAAAATCCTCCTCTGTGGTTGCGGGCCTAAGAAGCTTTTTTTTTTTTTGTTTTTTTTTACGTATTTTTATTTCCACGGCTTTTCCACTTCAAACGTTTTTTTTTTGTTTTTTTTAGAACACATGAGACTGATGAATACATCTTAGTGAGTGGTGACATGCAGCAAGCTAATGAGTACAGTCTTCACATTTATTTTCAAGGCGATATTAAAGCGATAGCTTTAATATCGGCATTTCGTTTGCCGTGCCGTGCCGCGCAAAGCGAGCGAAGACAAGCGAAGAGGGCAGCCCGGGCGTCCTGCCATGAATTGCGCAACAAAGGACGATTCATCGTGTCGTTTGCTTGCAAGACTCTAAAAACATTTCTCGCGTTATGCGAAATCCCACTTTGGCAGTACTTAACTACTACGCTTAATGCTGAATGCTTTTCAAAGCTTTCACCGCGCTTTCAAGGATCACTGGGGGCAGTCATGAGACCACGACGGCTATTAAAATTAACCACGTCGCACCTCCTTTCTCAAGTATGTGACGGCGCCATTCCACCCGCATTGCGCGACCGTGCTGCAGCTTTTGCTTTCATCTCTTCGCACACTGTGGACGAAAAAAACGACCTCTTTTTTTCTACTTGCGCTTTCACTTCTGCCTTTGGCATATTTTATTGTTATATTCTAAATGGTGCAGTGCAATACATCTTTTGGGGCCGGCACTTGCGCTGCAGTTATTACGAGAGATGCGCGCAAAACTATTTTATGGAAGTACGTTTTCCACCAAAGCATCACGGATCATGGATAGTGCGTTGGCGGGAATTAAGTTCCTAAAAGTGAAAGTAAATTTATAAATGAAGGCTCCGTCATTGCGCACGCGATTACACCAACGTGGTTTTACTTTGCACACTACCCGCCCGTTCAAAAAAAAAAAAAAAAAAAAAGAATAATACGGACGAGAGTAAAGGTCACAGAATTTCAGTCTTTCCACTCTACTGAAGAAGGAAGAGCAGCGGAGCAGTAGCTTCTATCTTCGGCGGTGGCTTTCCAGTCGAGCGATCTGCTCGTTTTTCGCAAGGAAATCTGAGGCGCTCGACGCAATGGAACTTTAGGCGATAGCAGCTTCACGGCGGTTGCGGAACCATTCGCGCCGCTGCGCACATCGCCGCTCGCTCCGCTCCCGCTCTTCTTCCTACGAAGAAAGGTTGCCGCCATCTATGAGCGACGGCGGCAACCAGTTGTCTGGTTGTCGCCGTCGCTCATAGATGGCGGTAGCTGTCCAGAGGTCGGTGTCATCATTTCTAATCCGGCGGACACGATCCTGAGGAAACTAGCCATTAACAGCTCCGCTGTAAAAAGCAACGGGAACTTTGGGTTGGGGGAAGAAGGGGTACGTAGACGGTCACGAGGGTTTTGTTGACACGTGACTGTGCCCTGACGGCGTGCAAAAAGGCGTCCCTTTCGAAGCTCGTAAAGATCGTGTCCGCTGTCTTCGACGCCGTGCAAGAAGTTACGATGCGAGAAACAAAAACCCAAGCGCTTTGGGTCCGAGCTGGGTTGCCGGGCCACAATGAGACCAAGGCGATGTGCGTGCGCTCGTGCTGGCGAGCGATGTCGTTTCCAACCGCTCTGAGGACGCCATCGTGTTTCACCTCACCAAAAGTTGCCAACTACGACCGGACCACCGGACCCCGAGCTCAAAAGGCTCCGGCGCCGGCAGGAGTACGTGGCACCGACAGCGGCGTAGCCAGGATTTTACTTCGGGGGGAGCGGTGGGGGTTCAACGGTATTGTTATCCCCCCTCCCGACTCATAAACAGACACACACACACACAATTCCGAAGCAGGGTGAACTCGTCGGCACGGACGTTCAGGCAAAGATTAGGGAGGCGCTGTTAAGATAAAAGGGATTACGCTGCATTGTCATCTTTCAAAACGGAGCAGGCTTCATTTACTAGAACACGGGTGTGGTGGCTCACTGTTATAACTGTCGTCATAGATGCGGCCCACGAACTTTAAAAGCTTCCTCAAA